AACTGAGTCCTAAGTTGTGAAGACTCTCAGGAAAGGATCAAGCTTGACATATTGAAAGATCCATGAACAGATCTCCACCATTTTAAAATACAAGCCATAGAAATTCCTAGTCCAGAGAGAATACATATTGTGTGAGAAAGGGGAGTTTAACTCTTTCCATTATACCCGTTTCCTGACCTCAAACAGACTCTCAGAGCTATTTGCTCTACTGGGGGGAAAATACAGGTTGCCTGTAGGTTTCTAACAGGTCCAATAGCAATTCAAGTGGGGATGGGGTGACAGTTTGAAGTAAGAAAAACTGTGTGGGTGAAAGCTTTAATCCCTGTGCTGTGGCCCAATTCAAATTAGGAACCTGAGGAAACAAGTTAACAATACAAATTGGGAGTTCAATCCAGACCTTCCAATATCTCATCTCTTTAGACCCAGAGACATTTCTACCAAATGCAGAAATGACTGTATAACAATAATTTCCACAGTTCTAAACTGGACTAAGAACATCATCTGAAAGCTAGTTTAGTGTTTTTTTTAAATTCTTGGTATGTCAGTCTCACTGAATAATTTTAAGCATGAATTTGGACAGTCCTCTGTACACAAGTGAATTTCACCCTTCATTAATACAGATTCTTGTTTTTTCTTCAGCAGAAGGGGATACATGTTAGACATAAGGCAAAGGGATTTGTTACAAGAGAGCTACTGATTTAACATGGGTCCCCGTTCTCATACAGTTTTCTGTGTATGCAAAGTTCACCAGGTGAGCAGAAGAATTGTAGCACTGTGGTCGGCTGGCAGACCAAAGGCAATCGCTCAGTTTGTCTGTTACCCTGTTAGGTCATTCTTTGATTGTGATGGTGGCACACAGTTTTTCTGGACGCAATACTAGGTGCATGCAAAGCCCTGTTGTGCACAAACGTCTCTGGATCCTTAGCACAAAGACAGGTTATGGGGTTGAAATACAGGCTATTTCTTTCTCATCATGGCACACTTTTTCTTCCCCAAACAGTAATGTTTTTAGCAATCCTTCCCTACTCCAAAAGAAAACGTCAATATATTCCACCATGAAGACCAATAGCGTTCAGAAGGATGCATTTCATCTAATGTTCTTTTCACATACATAAAATGAAGCAGTTTATACTTCAAACCCTGTGTATGCACTGCTAAGGAAGGGTTTAATAATAATTTTCGACAGTCCCAAGCTCACTGAAGAACTATCCAGTTGCTTAACCCCCATTCCTTTGAGGTAGGTAAAACAGTGTCAGCTCTGTATTTATTATGAAGTTATTTGACTCTTGCATTGTAAGGGAATCTCTTAAAATGCCTTCGTATCACTGAGGCACAGCTTCCTTTCAACAACAATGTTCTCTAGAGACATCAATGACTCTCTTTGTTTTTGGCTGAGCTTCTATACTCACATGGAACTCACAATATGCCAACTACATCTGCAGCATCTTTGGCCTGAAGGGAAAAGCTAGGAGATTATTCTGACTTTAACTACAATATTGCAAATATCTGTGGATGGATATATGCATTATACTTACTTCACATATATGTGCACTGTACCTGGCTGCAATCCACCACACAATTAGGGATACTACTGCCCATACAAATGAATTGGTTTAAGCATGCCGAAATCTATGCTGGATTTGAAGCTATACCTGTTGTGAATAAAGCAGAGTCCTAAATTCACCTTAGAAAAACGCTGCCCATGCTATGAAGCCTCCAGCCATAAAACCAGCCAGATGACTCAGCTATAAAAGGGGGGGGGGTATGGAGTTGGATCAGTGGAAGGTGCAGCGGATGGAGGCAACCAGTGTGGATGATGTCACAAGGGGCCAGATCAATGAATTTTCATATCCCAGGTACTACACACTGATGCGGGACTCAAGGTGGTTGGCCTGAGGGGTTTTGGTGGGCTGGAAAAAAGCTAAGCCCAGGAAACAGATTGGCCTGCTGTGTCTGATGCAACTGGAAAAGTAAGGTAAAGATTTCCCTTGCTTGAAAGCTAGTCGAATCTGACTCTGGGTTGGCAGTGCTCATCTCCATTTCCAAGCTTAAGAGCCAGCGCTGTCCAAAGACGTTTCCATGGTCATGTGGCCGGCATGACTAAACACCAAGGCACACGGAACGCTGTTACCTTCCCACCGAAGCGGTACCTATTTATGTACTTGCAATTTCTTGCTTTTGAACTGTTAGGTTGGCAGGAGCTGGGGCCAGAGACGGGAGCAACTGGAAAGCAGAGGGTTAAAAGCAGCCTGCTCCTCATATGTGCATGTATGAGAGTGTGTGCGTGTGTGTGTGTGTGAGAGAGAGACCTATGCTAGGAAACTCTGTTCTGAATTTAGATAAGGAAGCTATCTCCGTTTTCTTAGAGACTGTAACCCAACTTTGTAGCCTGCATAATTGTACTCAAGGTGCGTTGATCTCTCAGTCGTGAATACAGTTTTTGTCTGTTAAAGAAATTATAACGGCATTAGTCTGAATATGTTACCAGTTTCTCCTCGCTTGGTGTTCCCGTTGCTAAATGGGTATTTGAGGAGAACAGATGAAGGGGGTGGTGACAGTGGGATCCAAGTGGCACCCCAATGCTCTTAAAGGAGGCACAGTAAGAAGGTTGGGTCTCCACTGCAAGCCCCACCAAGTCTCTGGACAAACTTGGCTCTCTTGGCTGCTGAAGGTATACTGAAAAGGGGTGAACTCTGATGGGCTGAGAGGGAATTATTGCTATGCCATCCTCAGAGCCGCAGCTCCTATGTTCCTATGTGCCAGGAAGTACAGCTAGCAACAGTCATCATACTGCTGAAGACAGAGGAATGGGCCCTGCAAGAAATGGCACTGGAAACCTCCAGACTTGGACAAGTAGAAGGGGCCTTTCCTCTTTCTTTGCTCCAGATCACAACATACTGAGGCTGTCTCATTTTAAAAACAAAACAAAACTGAATATGTACTATAACCCTTCATTCACATATAACAAAATTTGCCTTTGTCTGCCCAAAGGTTCCACAGACAGGGCAGAACTACACAAAGCCTATGACAAGAGTGGGGTTGGTGGGATTCCCTGACCCAACTATATTCTTTTTGAAGACAAATGTAATGCGACATCAGGGCCTGATTTGGCTCAGGAGTGTGACATGAAGTATGCAGGCATATCACTTGGTATGCAGGGCAAAAATATGGTGTGTGGAAGCCTGCAAATATAAGCATAATTAGTTTAAAGTTAGACTTAAATCCTACCTCCAAACAAGCTTGTTTAGGATCAAGGTATAACACATCCATATTTTTATGACTGTCCTGCCAAATATTTATGGAGCTTGGTTTTTTAAGCACATCATTACTTTAGAGGAGATTTTCCATGGATTCTTGCAGAAAGCAAATCCAGTATGTAGTTAAACTGGTTTTGTTGGTCAGACAATATAATTGTGACCTCCCTACAACCCAATGGCATCAGCAGATGAGTCCATCATGTTGTTTGAATTAATAAGTTCATTATCACAATGGCAGCGAACAGTGAAAATTAGACCCAATGTAATCTCTAGTACTACAGCAAGAACCAAGCTGCACATCTAGTTACAAAGCAGACTGGCTTAACTGTAGCATATCTCCTACCCCATCCTATGTCTATCATTTAGGATCACTTGTCCTGTGAATTCTGAGCCAAAAATGAGTTTTCTATCTCTGCTGGCAGCCACTGGTGACATGTAAGGAGGTGGGGAAACTTTCTGTGTGATGGTCAAGTTTCACATGGCGGTGATTAAGTTTATGTGCTCCAGGGTGCATAAGGGTTGTGGGGAATATCACATGAGGGCCAGCTTTATCAGCTACTAACATAAGAGGATTCCAGATGGCAAATATTATGATTAAAAACCCATAAAAGAATAAATAGTTTGAAAGCTAGAAGAGGCTAGGTCAGCTGTTGGTTGCCTTGTATACACAACGTTTATAAAACAAGCATGTCACTCTATCTTACCTTAATAACAAGACCCACAATAAATTAATTAAAGATAGAAAATGCACTTCTGTTTAGAACAAGTTCAGTTTTTCAAAAGTGTAAGAAATCTGTGTTGTATCTGTAAGGTTAAGACACTGAAGTGGAAATGTCATTTCCCTGTCACAAAATGGAGAACCACAGTCACTAGCAAGACCATTGTAAAAATTTTAAAAGGCCAGAGTTCGGCTACTTCACAACTGCAATTTTTTAAAAGGGCTTTTTTGTTTGTTTGTTTCCAGCCTATTCCTAGAATAGAGATGAATACTGGCAGTTGTCCATCCTCTTGTTTCTCAGAACAGACCATTCCTTAGAAGGTGGGCAATCAGGTAGCTAACCCAACCAAATAAACAACCTGGCTCTTACATCTAGATACTGTTACTAACAGGCCCTTTTCTGTGGGACACAAACAGTTTTTGGGCAACAGTTAAGTTCATCAATGTGCATGAGGACCTAGCTATATGATCAGATTTTCATGAAACACTGTGTAGCTGCTGGAAAAATATCCTACACGAGGTGCCTACTGCTATGGAAGCTTTGTGTTCTGAACATCTCTTCATAAACTATTTTGAGTGGCTTCCTGGGGGGCTCTCCATTGTTGGCATTAACTGCTAGTATCCTAAGTGTGTAAGGCTTCAATTTGCCCTAACTGAACTGAGTCTGCCCTCTAAAATGTACCCATTGTGAACATCCTGACTGAAGCCTAATAGTGGGCAAGCTGTTCTTCAAGAAAGTTTGCCTACTGTTTTCGAACTTCCTCAGTGAGGACACCCTGATAAATTTACGAGGAATCCCAGTGCTATCCCAGAAGTGTTTGAAAACCACTGCCCTGGGCAAAGGCCTGAGTGTTGCTGCTCTTTGTCGTGCACACTTGGAAACAAATTAAGTCAAATTTTGACAAGCCTTCCCTATTTGCTACCTTGCAGCCCACCTAAGTAACTGCATCCGGTAAATACCTTTCTCTATGAACAACAGAGATAATGGAGATACAAATTCCACCCGTGGTGGAAAGGGCCTGAGCTTAGGCAACTCGGACATGAGGTTCTTCTTCCATTTCCTGGCCGAGGCTGGTGTATGTTACTGAAGGTTCCAGCTGCCCAGTGGCTGGCAAGTCTACAACAGGTCCTGATGGGTTTCGGAACTGCTTGTACACTCTTGGATCTTGGGCAACATATGTGGACGTGGAGAGGTACAGCACCAGCCCAACAAGGATGGTAAAGAATGACAGAAGATAAAGTCCTGAAAACTAAACAGAAACAAGGATAAGGCTAGTAAAAACACAGCTGGTTAACCAACACAAAATGAAAGATGTTGTGAAAACGGTAAGTAATAATTATGACTCCTTGCCCCCATCCTGTTAATTATCTCCAGTGAAAACAAAAGTTATGTAACTAATGCCTTTTTCTGGGTGACATGTCATAAAAGAGTATGCATTTGTGTCTGTTATGTCCTTCATGCAAAATGAGGACCAGAGATCTAGATAAATATATTTGATGAGATGTGCCTTGAGTATCCAAAAAATCTGTTCACTCCATTCAAATGGAATAGGTCCTTGAGGTTCATTAGTTTAAAAATGGGATATAAATAGCAATACTGCAATGAAAACTGGTGACAGAAAACACACATCCAATACAACACAGTGGAAAAGTAATATGGAAAAATTCAGTTTCTGGAAACTATGGTATGGATCCAACCTTCTTCTAAAGAGCCTTCTGTAAGCATAAGGAGCCCTTCCTCCATCTTAAGTAGCTTTTTTGTAGGAGGAAGAGCCACTTAAGTTGGAAGAAGAGGTCAAACTTTGCTCAGTGAATGGGGTGGGATCCCCACCACCACCGCCATCCTTTTAAAGCACAGGTAGCTAACGAACAACAAAGGTAAATCATAACATTGTGAAAAGCAAGGAGGATTGACCAGGAGTTTCCCTTGTACTAGTCTACTAAAATAGATAGAAACTAAAGCAGGGTAGGTTTCAACTATGCTACCTATATCTAAACTCTGAAACAGCAATCTATAACACAGATCAATTTTAGTTCCACTGAATTCAAGAGCACAGTATTGTATTCTGGAATGAGCCACAGGAGATGTGTAGATATAAGAATGTGACCCAGGCCACTGACAAAGCACTTACCTACGTAAACATTCCATGTCTGTTCCATCATGTTTTACTGCACCTACCATGTGAAGTTGTTCATATGCATATAGTTTTACTACAGAGACCTAAATAGTGGCCTGTGTCATATCTATACTGGGGCATATGCCAAACATTTCTATAACCTCCCCCCCCCTTTTGCTTAAGCCAATGTAGGTCATCTTAGCTTGCAAGCTTTAATCAAAAGGGAAAAATGTTTACGAATACTTTATTCCATGGGAGCAAATGTATGGAGAACTGACCAGCTGGACAGTCTACAGGAGAGCCAGGTGAGGGAAAACTACAAAGAAGAAAAGAGGAGGAGGGTTGTTGTTGTTGTTTTTTTAAAAAAAAAAACACTGGGTTACTACAGTATTCATGAGTCTTCTCCTAGCATCTATAGTTTTATGGACAGAGTTCAAGGGGATTCATATGTGCTATCTATAGTGACAGCACTACCCAACAGAAAATCCATGCTAAAGTGGTTATGGGCTTTATTGTTAAGTGATCATAAGGGTGCTGGAACTGGCAACACAGAAACAGCTATAAAGTCTTTCTTTCCTATTTATTAACTTTTGAATATTCTGCAGTAGTTTATTTTATCAGTTGCCAAGCATCTTTTCTTGCCTGTGGACATAAGAATTTAATCAAGCGCCAGATGTCTGTAATAATCGATTCTGTATTGCTATATTTGAGGCTAATGGCGCTCAAAAGTAAGGTTACCGTAATAGATTCAGCCCAGCTCTCTTGTTTATTCCTTTTCTGCTGAGTTTTACAATGTGTGCATACAGCATGATTGTCAGAGAATTCTGTTCTTTATCTCCCTCATACAAATGCAGCACATTCTTAAGCAAAGAGAGGCAAATCATTTGCAGCTGAAGCTCATTAATTTCAGTGTAGGTTATTGTGTAAATCACCTGGGAAGAATGCAAGAGTGAGGATGGTCTTATGGTCTGCCAGGCTCAGTCATTGTTTTGCATCAGAATCTTCTACAGCCACTGAATTTCCTATGATTTTCACTCTAAACTTACTCTGAGAAATGATGCATGTTTTCGGTGAATGTATTCCGGCTGTTGTTTGTCGCACCTCTCTGCTTTTGTAGTTACAGAATTAAAACACCTAGTTCGGAAAACAACTGTATGTAGCACTCCCATCTTCCAAAGTATGTTAAGACATTCCTCACACTCTAGAATGACAAGGGTTGGGGCTGTGGTTCAGTGATAGAGCACCTGCTTTGCATGTACAAGGCAGGTTGCGCACTATGACAGACTTCCACTGCAGCTCAGTGGAGCAGTGGGAGCAAAACGGGGGGTGGGACCGACATAAAACCATAGAGATTTGGCAAATTCCTAGAGTGCTGCATGATGTTGTGATGTCACTTCTGAGTATGTAACTGGAAGCAATGTCATGGCATTGCATTATGCAATTTCTACCCCTCTGAGTCTTCTGAGGGGTTGCATGCAGAAGTTCCCATGTTCAATCCCTGGCATCTACCATTAAAAAGTCGCTGGCAGCAAATGATGTGAAACACCTTGACTTGACACTGAAGGGCTGCTGGCAGTCAGACTAGACAATACTGACGTGGACAGACCAATGGACTGACTTTTACAAGGCAGCATTACATGTTCAGTGTTTCTCTTTCCATGATACTGTGGAGCTGGGTCTCAGAAGCACGAAGAATAATATCGCCAGAACATGAAGTAAACTGAATGACAGAGGACAGAATGCCCATTGCTCCCACTCTGCAGCCGCTCCACTGGCTGCCCATCAGCTACCAGCCTCAAATTAAGTTATAGGTTATCCCACACAAAGTCCTTCATGGCCTTTTGGTCCTTCATATCTGAAGGATCTCCTCTTTTCCTATGTTTCTTGATAATAACTTTGCTCACCTGAGCAGGGATGTTCTGCAGGTATCACCCTGAAAATGGGCAAAATCCACAACTGCCCAATACACGGGGGCATTCTCTACTGTGGCCCCTGCCTGATGGAACGGCCTGCCTGCTGATGCCACAAATTATGCAGTCGAGTTTCCCACATTTGGGGAACTTGCAGGAGTCAGCACACCTGAAGTGCAATGGATGAGTCTCACCCTGGGACAGAAATAAAGGTCCAACTCTCCTGGCTTTCTGCAAACTATGCAACACTGAATTATTCAGGAGGACTATTTTTAACACAGGTAATAGGGCTGTATTGTAACAAAATGGTTCAGAAATATGCTTTCATCAAGCGGTAGGGACTGTGGACTCTACAATTCTGTACAGAATGTACAAACTAGTGCCATAAATATAATCCTATTATGTAATTTCTGCATTCTTCCATGTTAATGCTTTGTTTCATCTCCCATTCTGTGGATTATATTGATTAACACCATGTAATCCATCCTGAGTCTCAGTGAGAAAAGTGTACTATGAATAGTGATTGTGCACTGGGACAGCTGGTCACAGAGCCAGCCAGAGGGCTAGTGATCTTGGGCTTGGTTCTGAGCAGGTCTCAAGACCTGGTGAGAGATGTGGTTACCCCTGAGAACAGTGACCACAGTGCTATTAAGTTCAGCATTCAGGTTAATGAAAAGTTACCCCTAAAGTCCAAAACTGTAATCTTTGATTTCAAAAAAGGGAACTTTACAAACATGAAGGGAATAGTAAAAAGAAAACTGAAGGGGAGACACAAGAGAGTCTAATTCCTAGAAGATGCTTGGAAGCTATTTAAAACCACACTAATTGAAGCCCAAATAGAATGCATTCCACAGGTTGGGAAAGGCACTGCCAGGTCTACAAGAAGGCCTGAGTGGTTAACAATGCAAGTCAAGGAAGCTATAAAAAGTAAAGAGGCTTCTTTTAAAAAGTGAAAGATCTGCCCCAATGAACTAAACAGGAGGGACCACAGGCTCTGGCAAAAGAAATGGAGTCAATAATTAGGCATGCAAAAAGAGATTTTGAGGAGCGGGTTTCTAAAAGCATCTAGACAAATAATAAACATTTTTAAAAATATATCCAGAGCAGGAAACCAGCTAGAGAAGCAGTGGGGCCTTTGGATGACAAAGGAATAAAGGGTTTGCTACAGGAAGATGGGAAGAGGAAGAGGAGCTCAATGACTTTATTCCTTCTGTGTTCACTGTGGAAAGTGTGAGGCATGCACCCATGCCACAGTCCCTATTTTTAGGAAGGGAGTCTGAAGAACTGAGCCAAATTGAGGTGACGAGAGATTAAATTCTAGACCTGCTCGGGAAATTAAAAGCTGATAAAGCTCCAGGTCCTGATGACATACATCCAAGAGTTCTTAAGGAACTCAGATGTAAGATAGTTGATCTACTAACACGTATATGTAACCTACCACGAAATTCAGTTACTGTGCCAGAAGACTGGAGAATAGCAAATGTTACACTCGTTTTTAAAAAGGGATCCAGAGAGGGACCAGGAAATTGCAGGCCAATCAGCCTAATGTCTGTCCCAGGCACAGTAGCAGAAACTGAAATCAGAGATAGAATTGTTAGGCACATAGAGGGACAAAGCCTGCTTAGGGAAAACTGGCATGGCTTCTGCAAAGTGAAGTCCTACCTCACTATGCTTTTTGAGTTTTTTGAGAAAATGAACAAATATATGGATAACGGTGACCCAGAAGACATTATATACCTGGACTTTCAAAAGGCTTTTGACAAGGTGCCTCACCAAAGACTCCTCAATAAATTTAGCAGTCATGGGATAAGAGGATAGCTTCTCTTATGGATTAAAAACTGGTTAAATGACAGGAAATAAAGATTAAGAATCAATGGACAGTTCTCACAATAGAGGGAAGTAAGCAGTGTGGTCCCAAAAGGATTGGTATTGGGGCTGGTACTATCTATATATCTAATAGCGAAGTGGCCCCGTGAGTGCGGTCCCCGTGTGTGCACAAAAATCTTAAAGTGTGTAAAAATTATCGGGGGGGCCTTAATTTGACAAAAGTAAAAAAGAGTGTTCCCTGCGCATGCGCAGGGAACGCTCTTGGAACGAGGGCTGGAGTTTGCCGCCGCCGTAGCCCCTGCGGACCCAGCCGGCTGGGTACAAGTGCGGCCGCGAGGCCCGGCCGGCTGCAAGCCGCTGGCTCTCGCTTGGGGAGGGGGAGGCAGCCGGCCTCGC